ACTGCAGGGAACTCTGCAAAAAACGCATCTTCGCACGGGCAGCCCGTGCGTTGGCCAATTTTTATCCCCTGATAAAACAGCTTACGGTTCATTAGTAATCCTCTGAATACTACCTACAAGTATTTATACTCGACGAACAACGATAGTTACAGTAACCACGTGAGGAAAACGAGTCCCATGGGTAAGACATGTTGTTTGCCTTGGTGACAATCACTGCACGCCCCGTAACAATGTACTTGCAAGAAAATAAATGAATTGGGGAACTTCCAAAGAAATGACGTATATAAAATGGACAGGCATTAGGCAACACCTGTCTGGAAAAATCGCTATCGAAGCACAATTTTCGCATCATTTTTTGGATGGGCTTTTAAATTACAGTAAAAATTCCAAAAAATTTCTGCAGCGTTTGTCTATTCACATAACAAATCGCACATTTATGTTATCAAATATTTCACGTGTGAATGGAGAAATCCGAACACATTTGAGAATGTTTTGATTTTGTCCGAGCACATTGAGAATGTAATTTTCATCTGAATACATTTCATTTCAAAACATTTAATGATACATACACATGCACACACACGCACACACACACATACACACACACAATCCTTAATGAATGCTGACGCTCCTTATGCGCGTTACGTCAGTGGCGGCGATGATGAAATACCACCGATAAAAATGGATATATTCACAGTTGAAAATGATATCAAAAGTCAAAACACGCAACAATGCCCCTTCACAAAAAGCAAGTGATGCACAAGAGTAATCCAAGGACAACAAACGCCAACAACCAATCGCTGGCACGGCTATCGATGAGGGTTGCGACCGTCATACTGACGAGGTCCAGTCGTGGTGTTGAGCTAAGACGTATATGACTTAATGGACCGAAACTTCTTAACTCAACTGTTTTTGCTTCTATTTATCTCCTACTATTTTTTCCTTTTTATATACACTTCCCTTACTTTGGCAACCATCAACATGGATGCTACAAACGACTTGCTAACAAGCAAGCTGATGAAAAAAGATAATGGGATGAAACAAAAAAGTACGTACGCGCTGCTTGACTGGAACGTCTGTTCCAGTTCAGCACTCTCGTAGTTCAAAAAGAAGATACTGTAAGTGAACAGACTGCAAAAATTAACAATATTCAAAAATATCTGTATAATCAATAACAAGAGTAGTGGCGCACAGGGCCCGGATTTTCAATGTTATAAAGTTAGAATTGTTTGATCTTCATTTTTTTCTTTTTTTCCAAAAACACTGTGGTTGTTTTTACACCGAAAAGGCCTAGAAAGCCCCAATGCTGAAAAAGCTAAGCAGCCATTTCAACGTGTAACTTTTTGTGAATTAAAAAAAAGCTATTCCTTCTGCTTGTTCGCTATGTTACAGAAACGCTGCCTACAGAAAATTGGTATAAAACCCGGCAAGTGAGACTGAGCAGAGAAAACGATGCATGTGTGTGTGTGTGTGTGTGTGGCAGAGTCACTTTTTTGCTCTTCTCGGCTTCTTGGCATATTTTTGGGCAAGAGAGTCGCAGAATGCATCCAACGATGCCAGTTTTTGCTTCTGTCGATTCTGTATCAGCTCAACGAGCGCACCTTCGCCTTCCTTCGACTCAATTTCTCGCAACATTTCGGCTGCCTCCTGCAAAAAAAGCAATGCCAGCCCAATACAACTATCACGTAATATATCAAATACTGATTAATGGGTTTTGTTAAAAATAGATTAAAGACCAACTGCGTTACTATGACGCAGTACCCCTGTCCCTGGTTCAAACTTTAACCACCCTACCCTCATTGAACTTTCGAACTGTCCCCTGAGGTATAAAAGCACTCCTCCCCATCGCCGGGATCTCCATTACCAATCTCCACTGCGACTTACTGCTATATACTAATATTCCTATTTTGGGGAGCTTCGGCTC